GCATGAACCCTATACAAAAGAAACCCCCCCCCCCCCCCCCGACCTGCTGACTTACTAGATATAGATGTCCAAGGATTCCCCATGAGATCCTCTCGCAGGCCAAGTCAGAGACATCCTCCTGAGAAGGGCATGCGCTCTAGGCTTTCTTGCAGGGGAGCTCTGCCAACCAACAAAGGATCTGCTGCATGTGGACCAAACGAAGACTCATTCTGGAGATTTGGGACAACATACCTGCCAAGCCATTCATGGAGTAGTGAAGGGCTGCAGGAAAGAGTTCAAGCTGTTTGAACTTCAGGATCAGTCAGGATAAATCTGAGCTCCTTGGTCATAGCCTTGGACCAGGCCGACACCATAGAGGTGATGGCAGGCTCAATGGCTGGGCCTGCAAGGACAAATAAGGCCTTACAGAGGGCATCCAACCCACTGGTCTGTCTGGTCTATGAAAATGGAGACATCCTCTAGAGGCACTCTAAGGGTCTTGTTCAGGCAAGAGATGGCAGGGTCCACAGTAGGGACTGCCCACTTCTTAAGGAAGCCATCCTCCATAGGATACTGCTGGGCAAACCATTTAGGGGGAGAGACCCCCAAACTCCTGACCTTTGGAAGGAGGTTCTAACTGCAAACCGGTGTGGACCACATCCACAAAGACTGATACTGTGTCCTTCATGGGGGGAACGTCAGGGGACAGGTCCTCTTTGTGAGAGTTCCTTCCTCCCCCTCTTCCCCAAAATCCACCATAATGGATTGCCTCTCTGGATAGCACATTAGAGGAGGAGCCTGAGACTAGCTTGGAAAGAGAAAGAGAGCCCAGCATGGGATTGGCAAAAAACAAACATTCTCCCCAGAGAACCCCCACCTGAGCCACGATCCGGATGTGTGGCCCCCATGCTCTCCGCCCCAATGATCCACCATGAATGTACTCCCACAATAACTCATAACATCGGAGAGAAGGAGCCCCGTGTCCAGCGGCACCATTGACTGAGTTGATGCAGTTGTAGGCTTGTGTGGAGGTGAAGCTCCTGAGAACAATGGAGAGCATAGCAGCAGCACGTGGCTGGCTGGAGGAGGGCCGGAATAAGAAAATGATGGACAAACACGCAGTAAAGTACCTGGGGAGGAGGGGACAGGCAAGGTTCCCAGCCTCTAGACCACAAGGGGAGCCTAATGGCGCCAAATTCAATTGCCATAAAGCTAAACACCACCCTTAAAGTGCAACTCCGAATGTGTTTCTGAGCCTCAGAATTATCGTCATCCTATAAGAGGACTGAGGATACTGTCTGGGAACTTGGCTAGCTCTTCACTCTCCGGGTGGACATACGCCCTACAGCTGGGAGCGGGAGGGGTTAGGCGGGGCAGCCCCGCAGCTGGCAGCGGGAGGGGTTAGGCGGGGCAGCCCCGCAGCTGGCAGCGGGAGGGGTTAGGCGGGGCAGCCCCGCAGCTGGCAGCGGGAGGGGTTAGGCGGGGCAGCCCCGCAGCTGGCAGCGGGAGGGGTTAGGCGGGGCAGCCCCGCAGCTGGCAGCGGGAGGGGTTAGGCGGGGCAGCCCCGCAGCTGGCAGCGGGAGGGGTTAGGCGGGGCAGCCCCGCAGCTGGCAGCGGGAGGGGTTAGGCGGGGCAGCCCCGCAGCTGGCAGCGGGAGGGGTTAGGCGGGGCAGCCCCGCAGCTGGCAGCGGGAGGGGTTAGGCGGGGCAGCCCCGCAGCTGGCAGCGGGAGGGGTTAGGCGGGGCAGCCCCGCAGCTGGCAGCGGGAGGGGTTAGGCGGGGCAGCCCCGCAGCTGGCAGCGGGAGGGGTTAGGCGGGGCAGCCCCGCAGCTGGCAGCGGGAGGGGTTAGGCGGGGCAGCCCCGCAGCTGGCAGCGGGAGGGGTTAGGCGGGGCAGCCCCGCAGCTGGCAGCGGGAGGGGTTAGGCGGGGCAGCCCCGCAGCTGGCAGCGGGAGGGGTTAGGCGGGGCAGCCCCGCAGCTGGCAGCGGGAGGGGTTAGGCGGGGCAGCCCCGCAGCTGGCAGCGGGAGGGGTTAGGCGGGGCAGCCCCGCAGCTGGCAGCGGGAGGGGTTAGGCGGGGGCTCCACGCAGCTGGGAGCCGTCAGGCGGGGCCTCCCCGCAGCTGGGAGCGGTTAGGCGGGGCCTGCCCGCAGTTGGGAGCGGTTAGGCGGGGTCTCCCCGCAGCTGGGAGCGGGAGGGGTTATGCAGGGCTGTCCCTCAGCTTTGATTGATTTGCCAGTGTCCAATCACCTAAAGGTAGGTGCATAACCCAGTGATGTCAAAATTAACTCCTTGTGTCCTGTGACATACAATAAATTATACAGATAGATGTGTGTTTTAGATATATATTGGTGGAGGGTAATATATTGGGTGTATATATATTGTAAGGCGGGGGTGTGTGAATATATTTGGAAGGGGGTGTGTGAATAAATATATTTGCGAGGGG